GTGGGCTGATTTTCCAGATAAAAGTCCCACATAACATAGTCATAACATATTCCGTATTTGTTCAATTGATAGTTGTCAACTATATCATTGAGAAAGAAAATCCTATAAAATAGATCTACAAAACTAATGATGTAGATGATATAATAACGGTTTACGCCATAAATTGTTTGTTGGTACGGTCAACTATGATACCGTTGTATTTTATGCAGGTCTTGTTCACAGTCTGGATACTCAAAAAGCACAGAAAAAATTGGACAGATCTGTCAAATCCATTAGATTTTTCTGGGTCATGCTTTTTTTTTAAATTTTTTCCTGCTTGCATTTTTTTTGTCTTGATCCTTCTACCAATTTCTTCTTCCCATTTTTGGTTCTGCATCTTCTTCAGCCCAGTTTTCTGTCTGCTGTACACCAATGCCAACTGCATGTAATTCCTGAACTGCTCAGCATCCAAATCATCGATGAATTTTCTTACTTGATTCCGCTTGGCATTGATTATATCACTTATGCTGGATACATACGCATTAGGCACAAGTTTCTTTCTTGCAAAAAAATTCACCGATGATGCTTTCAGCTAGCATTAACATATCACCGATGTTAATGCTGGCTTAGAAGGAGCCTCTACCATGGCGATTTTATACTGCCTTCCACAGTCCATTTTAAACAAACAGTTATAATTTTTCGAAATAAATGTTCATTTGCAGGGGCAATCAGTAGGGACTTCATAACGGTCTTTGATATTGAACTTCCAAAGAAGTCCACCTTGGAGACGAAAATAGACATTGGTTCCTCGGTTAGTACTTTCAGATTGTCAATGAGCCCCTTGACGACATTCATTGTGTTGAGGGGTTCTTTTGGGGTATTTACAGTGTTGTAGAAGATACTAATCGAAAACCTTGATAGCATCTTCCCTATGATTCCCAGCATTTGCATCTAAACGATAGCGGCTTCTTCCGTAAAACAACTGTTGCAAACTTGAGATGGTTTCATTGGTAAAGGAAAATCCCAAGACACATTGTTTGCCCTGTCCGAAAATGGTAAAGTAAGTTGCACCTAAATGGAAAATTACATGCAACCGTGTCCTTCGGAATCTAGTGAGGAAAGACAATGTATACCCTTGTTGCTGGAAAAAAAAAGGAATTCATTGTGTTAACTAGCCCTAAATTATCATTAAATCTGAGGGAATTCATGCCCACAATAATTCGCCATGCTAGGTCCTCACTCGCATTTGCAGTCGCAATCCCCCAGGACCTTTCTTGTTTTAGAAGGAACTTCTTCCAATGGATGTAAGTTACAGTATAGTTTTGTCATTTGAATCTGCCATTCTTTTGCTAGTTAAGAAACTAATGGTTTACGGGAGACCGTTCTGTTAAGTAGAATTTAATTTTCGAAAGTAGGCCAGTAGACAATGAGCCTACATTAGCTAAACTGTTCATGCAGTCACGAATATGCTGCTTGTATTCCAGTGCAGTCCCTCCAGGAAGCCGTTCCAGTGACACAAGATGTGAGAATGCTGGCGTGGTTAACTTGGATTCCATCTCGCGTCGAAAAATAAAGTGTAGTTTTCTGCACTTCGCACTGTATTGAACGTCTTGATATCCGAAAGAATGCCAAGCCACCCACCACCACCATCATTCTGCAAACAGTTGTACTTTTGTCCGAAGAGCAGTGTTCCATGGACAATGTTTTCGAAATAGATTCCAACATTTCACAAACACGAGAAGCAGGAACTCCATTTAACAGGAAGTCATAATGGAGTTTCCTACTAGTGAACAGATTGGAACCATTTTGCTTTTTGTTCTGTAGGTCTTTTATTTTTTTCCCATTAGGAAAATATTTTTGTGCCAACTGTTTCTTTAGGGTTATTATTTTATTGAATTTTGAGAAAGGAGTACAGAGGAACAGCGGGTTGAAGTTGTTGAAAACAGGTTTTGTATTTCTACAAGACAGGTTTGCAATTGCAGCAGCCAGGGTTGTTGTTACAGCTGCAGCAAACATGGTTGCAGTGGAAATGTTTTCAGTTGCAGAAGACATGGTTGCACTTGCAGCAGACAGGATTGTAGTTGCAGCAGACAAGGTTGTAGTTGCAACTGGGGTGGCGATCGAACAGAAAATAGATGTGACAGTAGCAACAGAATGGGCCACCACTTTACATTTTCTTCAAAAACTGGGAAATTTCTTTCTACAAATCTTTTCTTTTTTTTTCTTTTTTTTTCTTTTTTTTTGAAAAATGCAAGAAGTTTCCCAACTGAATTTGACGTAATTGGAGGAAAACCGTTTTCGACCTTATCCAGGGAGGCCCATTTTGCTATGTTCCATATTTGTTAAAAATTTTTCCCAAAATATAGCGACACAGAATCTGCTTTCCGCTCTTTATGCAGCTGTAATCTTTTAATATTTCTTCATTTCTCCCCATCTAAAAGTTAAAAAAGTAAAATAAAGTAGGCAAGAAAATTAACTTTGATTTGGGAAAAAATTTGTAATAAAATATTCTTTAATCATAATACCAACTAATAGTTAAAAACTTTACAAAACATTTGCTAAAACATTTAACAATTATTTTAAAATAATTAACGTTCAGTTAATTCTGCCACATGAAGCATTCATTTTCTATTTTCTTCAATGCAAAAATTGTGAATACTCGGTGTTTAAAACTATTCACAATTAATTAAAATGAGAAAAATAATTTCAAATCTGAATGAAATAAAGTACAAAAACAATTAAATTTATTAAAGATTAGGTTTAAAATTAAATATTATAAAAGGTTGTGCTTCAAAGAGATTTTATCAAAATAACTTTGACAAAAAAGAATAAACTTTAATATGAGCCGCACAAAAATAAATAGATAAAATGAAAATATTTAGTGAAGTAGTAATTAAAAATTTAAAACTTACTTAAATTTGTTAAACTTACTTAAATTTTGAAGGGATATTTTCAAAAGACGTAAACACGATAAAACACAGAAATGAATAATGAAAGAAATGATGACGGACTTTTCGTAAGGTGGAAAAACTTTTTAATGATCTTTTAAGGATAATGTCGTTTATAGAAAAAACTACAAAACTAGGAATGTTCATTCACTAGAAAAAGAATTAAAAAAATGTTGAAAAATATTGGAGAGTAACGAGTTTTATTGAGCTTTTCAATTTTCGGTTTGTAAATATAGTTTTCACTTCATAATAATATCACCTAGCCTGAACTAATGCAGAATTTTAAACGATTTATAATATTATAAAAAATGAAAACAATTCTTGTAAAATTCATCGATTTTTTTCCTAAGACAACAGTATCCCTAATAAATCTTATTTAAAAAAGCATTTTAAAAATGTTCTAATGAAATAATGTCATAGTTTTATTGAATTTTTAGTAGATTTTCGTGAAATGAGTAGCAGTTTGAATAAAAATATGATTTTCATTCTCCAAAGAGTCCTGCTTTTAACAAAACAAATTTTGAGACTGAAATTTAATTTCTCCAAGTTTCATGAAATTCGACTCTCCGATTAATAATTGCGAGTTATTACCCATTACAACACCCGCACACCCGAGCTAACAGCACCTGGTATTTACAAGTGGTCATCCATTTAGGTAATGACCAGGCTCCACGTTGCTTAATTTCGATTATCATACAGGGGCCCTGTTTCACCGTGATGTGGCCGTAATAAGGAATGAATCCTTACATTATTTACATTATTCGAACTGTTATCCTCATCTTTATTACCATATTCACAATGTTTCGGCCGCTGTATGCTCCGGCCTTATTCAGGTGATTGGAATTTCGAACCGAACTTTTTATTTCGCCCACTGGAATAGATTGTTCCACGTGCCATGCCTCTTCCGGATGTCTCAGTTATTTCCCTTTAACTCGACTTTTCAAGTTTGGTTCACCACTGCTGTGGCCTAATATAGAACTCACAAATCTTTTGGTTTAGTAACTGGATCTAACCAACGTCTTTATCCACTGGGCCGTGGTGGACCAAACTCCAAGAGTCGAGTTAACGGGAAATAAATTAGGCATCCGGAAGAGAACAATCTACCCCCGGTCCGCGAAATAAAGGGTTCGGTTCAAAATTCCAATCACCTGAAAAAGGCCGGAGTGTACAACGGCCGAAACGTTGTGAATATGGCAATGAAGGTGAAGATAACAGTCCGAATAATGTAAATTATGTAATTAATCATAAAACCTCATCTCAGAGATATAGACAAATAAGGAATGAAACCTCGATTTCAGGAGATTTATTAATAAAATCTTTACTTTTATTATTTTATTAAATTTGTTTTATCAAGAATTAGTATTCAAGTTTTTAAGAAAAAGTAATGAATGAGATGATGACAATTCTAAACCGGGATTTTCAAAATAAGTTAGCAGAAAAATTAAATATCGCAACAATATTCAGACTTAAGATTGAATATGACAATGAAACTGAAAGTCGACACGTGGCAACGATAAAACATGAGAGTCGCATAACAGTTTGTTGAATCACCAAATTCTTGCCGCAATGATATCGACAAGTTGGACAAGAGCTTTTGATTGATAGAAAACAGATTGTGTGGTATGCAGAAGGTGGAGACTGGAAGACGCTTATCCAACAGGTAGGCGTCAAATATAATACTGCCTACATATTGATGCGTCACGGCAAAAGAACGACAAAGCCCCATGGATGCATCAGGAGGCGAATGTTATCAGAATAAGCGAAATAACATATGCATGGATTGAATTGGATTCTTATTGAACACTGTATCTACTTGAATCATAACGAGTTTCAAGTCGAGGTGTCAGTAGAAACGGTCCACAATTATGTACAAGCTCAATTCATTAGCGGAATGAAGATTACTGTTTAGGTTTCTCCACCGTCAGTAATAATATTAAATATCCCAAAGCATTCAATAACGAAAAATGGTAATTTGGAAGGAAGAAACAAAATTATTTTGTCAAAAATCTCAAGGCCGCACACGAAAAGGTCACTGGTGTGCATACCATTGCCTAGTAGAAAAGGTTTAAAGCTATATCACGTTGAAACACCGGTTCCCGTATGATCACCAAAGATAAGCAATGACAAGTCTGGTCAGTACCTAGATATGTGAACGCATGGGGAATACCAGGTGCTGTAAGCTTGGATGTGCGGACGGTGTAATGGAAAATGGCTCAGAATTGTTAATTAGGGAGCCGAGTATCAATTCTTGTTGGGTTCATTATATTCAGTAACGCGCAACTACCATTTGGAAAAGTATGAACCAACAACTTCTTCTCAAAATATTGGTTAATTATTTAGAGTTTTATCACTAAGCCACTATTAGCTTTAAAAAAATCCTACAATCTAAAAATATTTTCTGGCTTTAAATAACCTGCAATGGGTTGACAAGCCGTAGAAAATTAATCAATCAAAATACCTAATAAGAAAGGTCAAAATATTCTCCGGTCTTCTTTAGGTTATCTGAGAATTATGAACTGAACCTTTTTTTTAATTTACGGGTTATATTTTTCGCTTTTCGCTGTCTATGTCTAAGGTTAGCATTTATTATTCTTATGTCTGCAGTGATATTTTCTCCAGCTTTTTCAGTCTTATATGTGAAGGTCTCAAATAAAATTAATATTCATCGTTTAACCTATTATTCTAATCTTTATAATTTTATCCCGCCTATTCCGTGATTTGGACGAGTATCTTTATCTTTACTCTTTCTGCCGACGCATTCTTCAGCCTTCTCTCGGTATATATTGCTTTCTGTAATCTTTGGGTACATGTCGCTTCTAATAATCTCAAAATGATAATGTCTTAATTTCTTTAAAATCTTTTTTTTTTCTTTCATGTAAGTGCACAGAGATTAGAATGTTAGTTGTTCATTGACATTTTCCCGCTTTCTTCAAGCATATGCGCCTGTGCTAAAAAACACACAGAAAGTTTTCAGCTAAATCTTGCCATTTTGCTGTGAAATTTTACAGATACAAACTTCAGACCCATGTGCTATCACTGGAACAAATAATGGCAGACTGAAATATATAGATAAGTGTAAGTAGTGTCTGATAAGAATATTATTTTTTTTCATACGTAAAGTAATTGTTTATTCGATTCTTAAATTAACATCGACCGAATTGAAGGGTATGTTATTTCGGGTCTTCGAATGTTCGATCCTTCTTATTCTGAAAATGAGAAGGGTACTGTTTTCACTTATCGTAAGTTGCGCGTTTATATAATTTCCTTTCGCCAGTTAGGATATATCCATATAAATGTGTATATCCTAAATTCATTTCCGGTTTATGTTGGTGCACCCATCAACATCATTTGAGGCCCAATTCTGCACTTGGTGGCTTTGATGGCACCTTCTAGGTTAATCAACACGACACATGTCTTTTGACGTTCTGGTGTGACACCAAGTACAAATAATACTTTGGTACGCTGTATATATTGTGGTCATCTCAGATACACACTTCATAGATTGAGTTTTCTGATGGGCATTAAATTCAATTGCGACCTAAAACTTATGATTGTTTGTTTAGCGACATATCAACTATTTATGGGTCATTTAATGCCGAAATTTCATTTTCTTGGGAACATTAGTACTTTCTTTTACAAAAAATGTATTGTTGGTAATTTTTTGTTTTTTTAACAAGAATGTAATGATGGAATATTTTCTTATTTGTCAAAAATGTATTGCTGGTAATATGTTTTTGTTTGTTTTTAATATATTGCTGTTAATTTTTTTTACTATGAAAATGTGTTGCTGGTATTTTTATTATAAATATGTATTTTTATGCTTTGATACTGTTTTAGCGCTAGTTTGAGGGTTAGCTACTTGACCATAGGTGGGGCCCTAACAAATGCTACCACTCCCACATAGGGTTAACATGGGAACTATAGAAATTAAGAAGTGTTTCCACGCTCCTCAAAACTTCCCGATCAGAGATCTTGTTGCCGGGTGTAGTTTATCAGGACGGAGTTACTCACCCTAGAAATTTCGACGTGTCGAGATAACAATGGAAGTATAGAAAGTTACTAGTGACAACAAAAAGGTTTTGCAAAGTTAGCAAGAAGACTAAATACATGACCTTATGATTTGAAGATGAAAATAAAAACAAAGGTCGACAAGTAGCAGTGATAAATCGCTCGTTTAAGTCTACATTGTTGAATTACGAAATTCTTGCCGAAATGACATCGACGAGTCGCCCAAGAGCTTTTGAAACAGAACGTGGTGTCGTGCGCAGACGGCAGAGATTGGTACGCTTAGACAACAAGTAAATCTCAAGCATAAAACTGCATACACGTTTATGCGTCAAGGCGAAACGAAAGAACAAGGCCTGCATTAATAGAGATTACTACAACTGTCAAGTTGTCGGGAAAAAAACAACGGTAATGAGTAATAAAAATGCCGATAGTGGAAATAACGCTGATTACGATAATTGTTTTTTAAGCAATTCAACCCAAAAAAAACGCAGGAGTGCTACTAGCACGCAGGGGCTTACAGAGGATTGAGAACAAGAGTAAAGAGGCGTGTTTGAGGAAAGGATACAGAGAAGGACGGGGAACACGATCAATGTATCAGAAGATGTCCAATGACATTACACTTGGATATTTGAAGATTATAGTTATTAGGGAAAGCAAGCAAGAGGAAGGGAGTTCCACAGACGGGAAGTGCGATTAGAGAAGATGTTTGAGTAGAAGAGACGGTTATATTTAACCGTTTCGACTGTGAAAGGGTGGAATCGAGATGCCAGCCGAGTAGCTCGTCGGAACAGTTGCCGTGAAAATACTTGTACAAGAGGCAGAGGGAAGCCACAGCACCACTGTAAGATGAAATGCCAGATCAGGACTTATGGCATTGAATATTCGTCTCTGGATTTTGTCGAAACGTACAGCGGGAGCACCAGACTATATATGACAGCAATATTCCAGCAAGGACACTCGAGTTTACTAACTTTCACTGATTAAATATGCTGCTTTTTCTATATGCCGTTTCACTTCAGGGCTTGAATGATAATGGCTTTCACTAGCTTTCTGTCATTTGTAGGCCTGAGTAAATCATATATTTTTGTTATCTTTTCTAATCCCTGTTGTCCCAAACATTTACGCAAGTTTTCCTTCACTATGTCCTGTGAGTATCAAATTTTTCAAGCTCCCTTACTTCATCATATTCTCTAAAAATTACTTTTTCAGATGCTACGTTTGTTTATGATTTTATCCCGCCGTTTTGGTCAGTACTTTCGCCAGCTGTATTCCTATTTTTAGGTATTCTGAGATAAAATATTATTCCGTGATTTGGACGAGTATCTTTATCTTTACACTTTCTGCCGACGCATTCTTCAGCCTTCTCTCGGTATTATAAGTGTGAAACGTACCTCTTACGCCCATACAAGATTGACCTTTTTGCATTGTTCGAGAACGGGATTTATACAGAAATCATCTGAACCTAATTAGATATTGATAATTTCTATTTTCCAGCTGAAATCATAAATATGATTGGTTTGGGAATTCGATTTTGCAGGTTTCTTGAATAGATTAAGTGGTAGACTAAATATTTTCACCGTTGTTCAGTCCATGATATTCTTAGCATCCTTCTGTAGAATCAGATTACTATTGCCTCAAATCTCTTCTTCATCTATGATGAGATTGTTTTGCATTCACTGCCATATAAAATTACCATGGTTACATAAAAGTCCAATATTATTTTCTTTGTCTTCAATGAAACGTTCCTGTTTCTTAATATTTTCCTTAAATTTTGGAAGACATCTTTCGCTATCCCAATGTGTCTTCGAATTTCGATGTTGCATTTTCTATTCTCTGTTAAAATATTTCCTAGATATTTAAATTATTTCGCTTGTTTAATTTTGGTATCTCCGATTTGTAATTCACATGTTGGGCTCTTTTGCTGACAACCATATATTCTGGGAATGTTTAGACCTTTCTTTACGAAATGACCACTGCGATTGTAAAATCTATCGATACAGCAGTAAGGCTCAAATAAAAAGAAGACATTCGATTAAAGTTCTCTATACTTGCTACAAGTATTTAGTCACAAAACACTATTTACAAAGAGGCAATGCTTTACAGAATATAAAATGTTATTGAAATAAAATAAAAAACAGAAGAACTTTGAACTTCAGATTTTAATTTTGATTGTGTTTTTATAGTCACAAATGTTTGGCCTTTGTAAGCAGTACTCTTCTTCAGGTGAGTTTCATAACATCCGGGTATTTCGAACCGAACTCTTTATTCATTTTACGATGAGAAACGTTTCTTATTCCACTATTCAAATATACAGATACATATATAGAATATAAGAATATAACCATCATATATGTAGATGCAGTGTCGGGCATGTGAAAAGGGCTCTCCACTACGCCCCATAAATACTAAATTGGGACCATGTCGTGAGAATATTGTGGGTACAATCATCGGAAACCTCCAAAATGTCGCTCAGTTAACATTCTAAGCAACTTAGGCCGAAAATGCGTACCTAGAAACAACGCATCATTGCATCAATGGGTGCAAATGGTCAAGAATCTGTACAACGTAGGAGGTCAACGGACAAGATTTAGTTGGACCAGCGGACAGAAACTTTGCAACGTTAAAACACCCTACATCATCATCGAACCAACACCAGCATCATTGACAACTTGTGTCAATGGCTTCAAAGGATCTGTGACAGAAAAAAAGTTACTGACAAAGGCAAACTTGGAAATTAATAAGGTGAATCCATTTATATTAAGTCCTACCAGCCATCCCTCTGCAAACAGAAGGAGTGGTTGTTAGGCACAGATGGAATTAGCCTTTAATTTGTATATATTTATTATAAAACATTCAGTTTTTATTTTAGTCAGTGTGTACATCCGCGTCACCAACTCAGAGTGAGAACCGGTAAACATTTTGGCAGCATTTTGTTAATTGGTATTGCAACTATATATAACCACTTTACGGTAATGTAATATTTTATTACTCATCTTTTATGGTTATTTTTTTAACTCTTGTTGTTTTAACATATCCGTTTTTATCGATATGATTAAATGGTGTACCCTTGCTAAGATCCTTTCTATTTACGTATGGGGAATAGAGGTATTTTTTTTTTTTTTTTTTTTGTGGCGCTGGTGGTTTTTTGTTTGGTTACCAAAAGACAAGGTAGGAATTAAACACACGGACATCAATGCGAAATTGTTTGTGCCAGGAATCTGAGAGGCGGAAATCAATAAGCGTTTTGGTTATTTGAGCTTGGCTATACCGATCTCTACAATGATTCGTAGGATGATCAGACAATGTAAGAAAAATGTAATAGAAATTCCCCATTGCTTTTTGATGCTTTACTTTCAAAGGGTGACGTATTCTTTTCATCAAAGGAACGGTGACTTTCAAAATCACTTGAAACGGTATTAAAATCCCCATTAATGCAAAGTTTTATATTGGTTTCTACTGCGCAAATTTAGTTAATCCCCTATAAAAGTGGTCATTTTTGGATACAACATTTTTAGTTGGATTCATAGCCTGAAATTATACAGATTTTACAGTTACGCACAACTGCAGCCATCAGCATTTCTCGCCGACGAATGATGCTGCTTATTAAAATATCTGATGACCTACGCATTACAATTCCAAATCCATGGTTGCAGTTTCTCTTTCAGAACATTCTGATAGAAATCTTATTGTAAGTGTAAAACGTACCTCTTACGCACATACAATATTGACCTTTTTGCACTGTTCGAGAACGGGATTTATACAGAAATCGTCTAAACCTAATTAGATATTGATAATTTCTATTTTCTAGCTGAAATCATAAATATGATTGATTTTGGTATTCGATTTTGCAGGTTTCTTTAATAGGTTAAGTGGTTGACTAAACATTTTCTGACTACTAACAGATTTTTTCTACTTCAGACACGAACGCCACCAAGAGACGCATTGCTTGGTAAACAACGTGGCGGACGCTGCTGTGTCGAATAGAAATCTTTGGTATTGTCATGAGGTCAATATGGCTGGATTTTAAATCAGAATTTTTCTCTCATCGATAAATGAATATTAAGATGGCTAACGAACGGCATTTTATGGATTCCTTCTCGACGACATGCAGCGTATTGGATCCAACAGCGAAATTTTAAAAAAAACGCCTTAATATACCAATCAGTTCCTGATAAATCCAAGGTAATGTTCGGCTTTAGTAGGGCTAAAACACCCGATCCATGTTGCCCATATTTGAAGATAAATCGAGAGGTGGCATTAATTAAAATCCATACGCAACCATTATATATTGACAATGGGATTGTTGTTTGATATATATATATATATATATATATATATATATATATATATATATATATATATATATCCTAGAAAGAATTACTTGGCAAATTAAGAACCATCTTGGATTAAAATTTTGGATTAATACCAAAGATATCATCAATTGGTTTACCAATATTAATAATAAACCTGATTTCACCCTATTACAGTTCGATATTGTGGATTACTACCCGTCAATATCGAAGGATCTGTTCACGACTTCCCTGGAGTTTGCTACTGTGTATTCTGATCTGATAAAGGAAGAAATGAATATAATTCTAAGTGCAAAAAAAATCTGTCCTCATTCATAATGGGGACCAATGGATTAAAAACAATGATGACCATTTTGACATCACTATGGGATCTTTAGACTCTGCAGAGTCTTCTGACCTTGTCGCTCTTTTAATACTGTACAACCGTGAATTAGATATTAAGAATATCAGGCTGTACAGAGATGACGGGCTCATAGTAGTGAGGGGTTCCACTAATTTTAAAATAGAGAAAATTAGAAAGATTATATATAATGAATTTAGAAATCTAAATTTAAAAACAACAGTCTGTACTAAATTAAAAAGGATAAACTTCCTCGACGTAACTTTAGATTTAATAAACAACACATACCTACCTTAAAACCTAACACTAACCCCTTGTATATACACCCTAACCCAAACCACCCTCCATCCATAATTAAGCATATACCCTCATCAATAGAATCAGCATTAACTCTGCTAATAAGGAAATATTCCAACAACACAGTAATTTTTATAACGCAGCCCTAAAAAATAGTGAATACAAAAATGCTAACATCAATTATAGAAACAATTGTACTAACCAGAAGAAAAACAGGAAAAGAAAAATCATTTGGTATACCCCTCCGTTCAACCAAATGGTTAGTATTAACCTAGGACAGAAATTCCTAGCTTTAATTGAAAAACACTTTCCTACAAAGAGTAGACTTAGTAAAATATTTAATAAAAACACCCTAAAATTAAGTTACAGTTGCACTGAAAATCTAGAAAGTATAATAAATAAAACACAATAATAAAATCCTGAATAAACCCCCATGCCAGAATAGTATTAATAAAAACCCTACACTTAAATTAGACAAAAGTAGTGAAAAATTATGTGATTGGAGAAACCCAGACGACTGCCCATTAGAAAATATATGCCATGTAAAATAAAAAGTTTAAATGCCCTACCCCCACCCGACAAAAAAAAACTTTTTGAAGTCGTCAAAAAAGCAAATGTTAGCGAATTATGACAGTTGTGTTATATACACAAAACCCATTCAGGAAAAAAAGATAAAATAAAAAAATAAATCTCCATAGACACTTAACCAGACTAGACGATGTCATCTTCCGCTTTAAATTTAAACACACCAACCTTACCCTGACTTGACCTCTTTGAATGTAACTGTGATATAGATATAAATTATTAACCCTTATGTTCACTTTTTTTTTAAATAATTGCTCTAGCCGTTACCATAGTAATTTTAATTTTAATAATGAATATGCTTATAAAACCCCGTAAATTTTAAGAATTAGTTATTCCCAAAAAAAATTATCGCTTGAAGATAGAACAGAGCTTGGTACTTTAATTCAAATAAATATATTGAAGTTTTCGGCTCTTGTTTTGAAACATGAGAACTCTTATGTAGCGATGGAATCATATTTTTAAATAAATAATTATATATATATATATATATATATATATATATATATATATATAATGAGAACGAAAAGAATATAAATTCAAACGTTCATAGCATTAATTTAAAAGAGAGCTCAATAGCAAGAGTAGAGCAACGGTTTATATTATTACAGTTTATATTTATATTATAATGATGTTACGCACGGACAAGCAAGTAATCACGAAAAAGATGCATTTTTGTTTCGATGCGATGGTGATATCACCTGTCAAGATGCTTTTGCATCGAAACAAAAATGCAACTTTGTGATGAGTACTTGTTTGTCCATATGTTATATATTTATTATATATATATATGTTATGGGACCTTACCCATAATAACATAATGGATTATTCCATACGTAACAAATACTGCGCCTCAAGAGGAAGCAGTGAGTTCCGTGTGAAGTCTGGAGTTTAGTCTGAAGTCTGGAGTGAAGTCCGTCAGGAGTCTGTCAGAAGTCCGAGCGAGCGAGTCAGTCAGTCGAATCAGAGGCAGTCCGAAACAGAGTCGCGTTCAGACAATTACTACTAAACCTGATTGTTCGTACTAAAACTTTCTACTTCTCTATATATATATTCCTGTTTGTAATATGTCTGTGTTATTCCATATCCGCCTTCGAGTTCTTCTTTATTGGTTCTACCTTGGACTATCAACGTGGTACAAGGAATCGGACCATAACAATATATATATATATATATATATATATATATAATCAGTTTAACCCAAATAAGGCGATAATGTCACTAAGACACAAGGGGCTACTGGGGGTGAAGGAGAATGAGAAGCCTTTAGAAGAAACCGAAAACCCAGTCTATACCGGAAATAAGTGATATACCACCACTCTTGTTCAAATGATCACTGTGGTGAGTACATCTCTCTCTCTCTCTCTCTCTCTCTCTCTCTATCTATCTATCTATCTATCTATCTATCTCTCTCTCTACCTATCTATCTATCTATCTGTATATATATATATATATATATATATATATATATATATATATATATATATATATTGAACAATTAAAAAATATTAAAAAATTAAAATCTTCAGACACACTGGGTTGTAGATTAATATTCTTTCGTTTTTTTATTATTATTTCATTTAGATTCCTCGACTAGTTTCGACCAAAATGGCCATCATCGGGAGGAGAAATATTTCTGCTTGCTGGTAGCACTAAACTACAGAAATGAATGTCTTGCTGTAGAAAATGAACGTTTGTCTGTAGTTTTCATTTGTTTGTTTTTTTTTTTTTTTTTTATCTTTTTAACATGAATCTTTTAACATTCCTTGTGTTGGTCAAACAGTCTCTTTTAAGTTGTTATTTGAGATAAGAGCTGGATGGATCTATGCTTCCCTGAATTCCCTTGATCAGTTTGACAGTTTTATTGGTCCTGGAGAGGGGATGTGTCTCTGTTTAGTATTTGTGTGTGTGTTATTTGGTTCTTAGGGAGTGAGTGAGTATGATATGTGTAAGCGTGTGTATTGCTGTGGGTGTGTGTTATCATTTGGCTCATTAGGGAGTGAGTGAGTATGATGTGTTTAAGTGTGTATATTGGTGTGGGTGTGTGTATAAATGTGAGGCCTCCCCACCTCCGTAAGCATGTCCGTCTTGTGTGGGTGAGAAATGTGGGTAGGTTTTGATTTGTTGAGTTATACATTAGTACTATCTATATTGTTAAATTTATGGTTTAGCCCGGCTGGATATTGTGTTTTTAGACGTTGTATCCACGTATTTTCATGGGACTCTAAAATCTTTCTAATGTTATCTGCTCTGAACTTTTCTATTCTCTCAATTATAGTGAATTTGGCATGGGTTTTGAAATCGTGTTTTTCCAGGCGGAAATGTTGTTCTACAGGTAATAATTTTTCATGGGGAGTCGACTTAATTCGATTGCGATAATCATTAATTCTGTAGTGAAAGGGCCATTCAGATTTTCCTACATATTGTTTCTGGCATAGTGTGCATTCTAGGAGGTAAATTATGTTATGACTTCTACAGTTAGAATCGTGGTAGATTTTGAAAGTAGATTTAGTGATTGAGCTAGTGAATGAATTCGTGTGTTTAATATGGTTGCAACATAAACTTCTTTTGTTGTTACATGGTTGGGGAAATCCTGTTGTTTTTGTTCTTAGTTTATTACGGATTACCTTGTCCCCTGAAATGTGATTACTACCTATGATTTCTTTTAGGTTCTTAGGTCTACGATATACTGGAAGGCCGAGTTCCTTAAACAATGTTTTAGGTCTGGTTTGAGATGTAGTATTTCCCAGCGACGTTTGATTATTTGGGATAGTGGAGGCAGAGTGGGGTTGAAATTGGTTACTAGAGGAATGCGACTAGATTTATTTTTAATCTTGTACATTAGGGTGTCTTCTCTAGGTGTGGAAATTGCTTTATTTATTTGTTCCCTGATTAGGTGTTGTTTATAGACACGTGTTGTGAATTGATGCTCCAGATTTTCAATGTGTTTATTTAATTCTTCATTGTTGGAACATATCCTTCTGAGTCTAAGTGCTTGTGAATAGGGAAGGTTCTCTTTGAGGTGTTTAGGGTGGGAAGACTTAAAGTGTAGATAGTTGTGGGTGTCGGTGATTTTAGTGTGTAGTGTCGTTTGTAGTTTCCTGTTTTCATCTATGTAAATGCGGGTGTCTAAAAATGTTACTGATGTTGTGGATTTTTCATAGTCAAACTTAATTGAGTCGTGCACTGTGTTTAGGGTCATAAGAAATTGGGTAAGTTTGTCATCACTACCCGTGAATACAAAGAATATATCATCGATATATCTTGCATAGAATACGCAGTCGCTACCAATGATTGGATAGATATGGGTCTCCTCACATTTTCCCATGAATATTGTAGCATATGATGGAGCTGCAATGGTGCCCATGGCACAACCTCTTATTTGAAGGTAGTGTGCTCCATTGATGTTAAAAGTATTCAATGTAAGGATATGCTCCATGAGTTTTATGATGACTTCTGTGGTGGGGGTCTTGTTTTCTTCTTTTAGTAAGTGCTTCCTGAAGGGAGGTTAGCCCTTCGATATGTTTAATGTTTGAATAGAGTGACCTAACGTCCATAGTCATTAGAATAGCATTCTCTGGAACAGTTTGTATGTGATTAATTTCGTTTAGTAGATCTGTTGTGTCTCTGATGTAGGATTTTACTTTCTTAACTAGCGGTTGTATGTAATGCTCTATGCATTTGGAAATTTTTGTCGTGTGGCAGTTGAATGTTGAAAGAACCGGCCTTCCGTTAGAATTTCAATGACATGCACATAGATGTCATCTGGAAATTTAAATTCAAAAACGACGCAGATCCTACGGTCAACAGTAAACACTGTCCTCTTAAACGACTCAAGCAGCTGGTTACTAACAAAATCACTATATGAAAACTATATATCTACACTCTACTCTTGAAAGCGACGTTAAATGCCAGCTGAGAAAAAGATAAATCCAATGAAAATAATTATATGTGTACACATTTTGGGAATACAGTTTAGTGTTCATTGATGGAGACGTTGTCACTTCCACAAATCATATGCTACATTTCTAAATCAGTTCCAGATAATTCAGCGGAAACCGTTTCAATTCAGGAATTGTTTTCGGTTTGAGTCAGGAAACCAGATCTTTCATTATACTATACACGAAAAAGTCTCGTCTTGATAGGCCTGGTGGTCGTGATAGGGATTTAATCGCTCTATGTCGTCTTACCCTATTCAGCTAGAAAAAAAGGGCATTACATTTGCCACACCCTTTATACATACATATATATATATATATATATATATATATATATATATATATATATTAATGGTTTTGACTTGGATTTTGATTTACCTCTTTATGATCATTTCTCTTTAGTGTTTGATGTTTTAACAGGGGTGTAATTTTATTACTTACCATGAGCGACACTATCCAGACATATACATCTATCATGTTGTTCATCATAATAATGATGAAATTATTTTTATTACTGTTGCTGATGATGATAGGAACTGCGGTGGGGATAATGATGTTGTTTGCGTTGATATGACAAGAAGATGCGATGTCAAAAACAGCCGACTTGTTGCATATACAAGATGGCGATATAATGAGTATGTGTCCAGGCAAAACGGTGGTTGAATATTCATAGGAGAGTCGAAACACGACCTAACCAGTTGAATGTCTCTCTTTCAATGAGTACGCTTTGTTATACGTCTTTTTTTCTTTTTTTCTATCGTTATAATATTCTTTTCTTCTTGTTATGAATTCATTCATATTTATATTTCACCTCGTCTTCATTCTTTACATTTCACCATTTTTATTTTTCATTTCCTGAACGTTGTTTTCTTTTTCACTTCTAAATTTTTACAATTTCAGGCAATATTTTGAGTGCTTTTCCCTTGTTCTCACGAGCTAGTACAACTCTAAATTAGTAGTTATTCTCTTTTGCATTCTAATAGATGGAAATTACTTCAAATTTCGATTCGTTATACTCACTTTCAGACAATTATCGTTGGAAAAGGCATGAATCCATCTATCCTCTTAGCTAGGAGGTAAATAATAGGATTAACTTGGTAACCTATTAGACATAGGGTGCATATATTATTTCGGTAAAACAAAGGCATTTCACCAGCAGTAGATTGTCCCTTAATTATTCTGAATGCTTTGAAGTCCAGCGAGCGTTAGTCCTAGAGAAGGTCTCATGTCAGTTAAATAAAAAAGTTTAATTTTCTTTGTCATCATTGAATTTCTATTTCTATCTTTATTGAATTAGTTCCTTCATCCTTCTTTTTGTTTCTTTTTTCCATTTTTTTTTCTCTTTCGGTCTCCTTATTAAAGACGTTCTTGTAGCTTACGTTGAAACACGAGATCCCATACGATCACCGAAGTTCAGCAATGTCGATCCTGGCCAGTTCATAGATGGATGGAATATTTAATCGGTGGGACGAATTCCGATTCTATTTGGTTTCATTATATTCACTTAAGCGCAACTACCCTTTGGAAATGTATGAATCCACTCCTTCTCCCCCAGCTATGGGCTAATTAATAAAACTTGTATCACTAAAATTATTATTATCTAAAATTTCTTACACTCTAAATATATTTTTGTTTTTAAAATAACCTGGAAAAGGTCGATAAATGGTAGAAAACGAATCAATTATAAAAATTTGTACAAATTTTTTTCGACTTCGACGAAATCAGTTTAAAATACCAAAAAGAAAACATGAAAAATTCTTTCATAACATTAATCTATATATCTAGTTTTTTGAAGAATCCTACTGTATTCCAAATTATAACTTCAACAAAACTATAAAATAAAACACACACACCACACCCTCAATTAAGTATGTTCACACAAACATGTATATGGACAAAAGCTGAGTATCATCTACCATGTATGCTATTGTGTAAGCAGAATAACATATATCATATTTTTATTACTTCAAATGACCCAAGAAAATTGGTATTTGGACAAACAAATTAAAATATTGTTCCATAAGGAGTTTTTATTTTCTTTTTCCAAACAAATTAACAAATATTCTTTTTTTTTTTTGTTCTGTCTTTTCCAAGTTTTTTTTTTTCATTTTTTTTTTTTCTTTTTTTTTTTCTTTTTTCTTTTTTCTTTTTTCTTTTCTCCTTTTCTCCTTTTCCTTTAACTTTTGTTTATTTCTTTATTTCTTACATTTTTGCATTTCGTTCTGCTTTATTTTCTACTTTTCGCGTACCTTTTTTCTTAACCTCTTTAAAGTCATATTTCCATCCCAATTGCCTTCACACCCATTTTCCTTTTTATTAAACCATATTTTGGCCCCAATCAAACTATTTCCTTCAATTCCAGCACTATTTATTTGTTAATGAATGTCTTCTCCAAGTCCCATTGAAACCCGAATGAAAATAACTCGATACAGTTTCGAAATCGGATAAAAATAAATGAAAAATGGACTTTGGAATTCATGAGAATGAAGACAACATATGTTGCAAGAGTGGAGAAAGAAAGAAAGAAAGAAAGAAAGAAAGAAAGAAAGAAAGAAAGAAATGACAAGAAAAGAAAAAAAGAAAAAAGCGGTATTATCCTTGATCGCCATATACCGATTAGCAATCTGCCCACCAGGCGAGAATGATAATTTATTAATGTATTCGAATCCTCAAGACACCCCTTCCCCCTTCATTCATGTATTTTACTCCCACTCTTCACTGCGATCCGTTTCCGCTTCTCCTGTTACACTCGTCTCCTATTTCGGAAGACAAGACTAAACCAATCTCTCTCTCTCTCTCTCCCTCTCTCTCTCTCTCTCTCTCTCTCTCTCTCTCTTGCTCTCTCTCTCTTGCTCTCTCTTGCTCTATCTATCTCTCTCTTTCACTCTCTCTCCAAATATATATTCGTGTGTGTGTGTGTGTAAAATGTGTGTATATAAATATAAACATATATATATATATATATATATATATATATATATATATGTGTGTGTGTGTGTATATATATACGTATATATATATATATATATATATATATATGTGTGTGTGTGTGTGTGTATATATATATATATTATTATTTATTTATTATATGCGCGGTACTTATTAGAAAGCTCAATATCAGAGATAGAGCTAATATATATATATATATATTTTTCTCTTTCTCGCGATCTCCCTCTCTCTCCCCCTCTTCTTCTCTCTCTCCTTCTTACCTTCACTCTCCGCTCTCTCTCTCTCTCTCTCTCTCTCTCTCTCTCTCTCTCTCTCTCTTTCCACTTACTCCCTTTTACTTTTTATATATCTTTGCATTTTTCACATTCTCTTTTCTTGGTCCTTCTCAGTTTTTCGCCTTTCTCCATGTTCTGTGTCCATTCTTGTCATGCTCATTTACACAATAGTTTTTTTATACCTCCCAGTTTCAATATTTAATTCCCCCACCTCTCTCTCTCTCTCTCTCTCTCTCTATATATATATATATATATATATATATATATATATATATATATATATATATATATACTGTGTATTTAGTCAGCAATCCTTCTTTCATGCACATTTCATTGAATACGACAGGCAAGGTGCTTTGATTTAGTTTTTTATACAATTTCTCATGCGATCTAATATATTTTTTTTGTTTTCAGATGCTAAATTATATAAAAATTGTCGAAATGTTTTCTTTGCCGAGCGCTTCCGGCTATATATTTAGCCATTTTTAAGGATAAAAGATTTTAACTGTTGAATAAGAAATAGTTTGTTGCATGTCTGTATTTATATAATGTTTTAATTTTTCAAAACACGGTCAAGATATTGTGTCCATTTTCAAAGTTGATATTATTGAGTGTTATATCTATGTGAGTTTCTTTCTTCTCTTTCCCTCTCTGTCTCTCTATTTATCTCTTTTTCTCTTTTCGTTTTTTTTCTTTCTTTCATACCAATTTTCTTGTATTCTCCTTTCTTCTTCTCCTAAGTCTCTCTCATTTTTGCCTCTTTATCCCTCTCATTATTTATCTGATTCTCTCTCTCACTCTCTCCTTTTCTCTCTTTTTATTTAATTTTCACCAATTTTCTTACATTCTCCTCTTAATCTCTTCTTCTCTCTTCTCCCCATTTTTGTCTCTTTATCTCTCTTACTCTTTCACTCTTTCTCTTTCTCTCAATCTCTCTCTCTCTCTATTTAATTCATACCAACTTTCATACATTCCCTACTTTTCTCTTAATCTATTTCCGTCTCATGTTCCTCACCGCCATTTTGTCTCTCTATTTACCTCTCACTCTGTGTTTCTCTATTTTTATTTAATTCAGACCAATTTTCTGATATCCTCATCGCTTCTCTTAATCTCTTCTGCTTTCTCCACCTTTTTTGTCTCTCTCTCACTCCCTCTCTCTCACATTCTGTTTCTATTTAATTCCTACTTCTTATATTCCCTCTCTCTGTTGATATATTCTCTCTTCTCTCCCCTTTTTGTTTCCCTCTCTCTCTCTTTCTCTCGATTTATTTTATCCTAATTTTCTTCACTCTATTCTCTTAATCTCTTCTCTCCCGCTTTTAATCTCTTTATCCCTCTTACTTTTCTCTCTCGCTCTTGTCATCACTGCACTTCATGTATTTGCTCAAATGTAATAAAATACAACAAGGAATGAAGTCCAAAAGAAAAAAGTGGGATACTAAAATAATTTAGAGAGGGAAAAACGAACAATTTAGGGATGTGAATAAAATAACAACACATGAAATTTAAATTTAAATTGAAGAAAAATTGAATTAAAGAAGAAAGAGACCGGCACAAGCGATTTAGAATAGAATAAAGACTGAAGAAAAAGAGAGAATGACAAAGTGGGGGGGGTGCAAAAGAATTCGGCTTCAAAAGAGCGATCTGGAAGCAAGGTGAACAAAGAACGAGAATAAGAAAGAAATGAAAGTATAATTCAAAGGAAAACTAAGAGAAAAAGGGACAAAATAGAAAAGTGAGTTTGTAGAAGAAAATGACAAATAAATTATGAAGAAAACTTAACAACTTCCAACAAAATTTAAAAGTCAGAATTACTTGTAGATCTATTCTTTGTCTTGAGCTCAGATTTTACGAGAAGAGACTTTGCACTCACTATCATATCAGACAATCAGTGGAGCGTGGTGCTGGGTTGATCTTTTGTCGCCTCATTTTCCTTCTTTCAAGTGTTTACTTTTTATAAATTCCACATAAGATCAAAGGCAAAAATAATATTATATTGCTTCTGAGATAAACCACTTTAATATAAATCAAACATCGCATTATGCCATAACAGACTTTGCACTCACTATCACACAAAACCGTCAATAAAATCCGATATTTACCCAACCTACCCTCCAGACAGAATGCGGCACAAAGCGAATTTTTATGTGGGGCAAATCCGAGCCTGTAGGCTGAGGCATAGATTCCCCTTAGACACCGCATACACGGGGTCGGGTTGCTGTTCGGCATAGTTTCGTCTGAGTTCCTCTTCGCCTGGATGCAGAGAGTCAACAAGTAGATCTCTTTTATGCACTTCTGGGAATGGGCAATCATGGCATTCCATAACTTCTTATGTTTTCTTACTAAAGTAATTTTGACCATCCCTATTCTGTCACACAAATGCATTAAGCAGCTTACTTGCTCCCCCTAATTATCTTTGCTTCAGGTCTTCTTTTCTCATTATGTGTTCGAGAAATTTCAAAATTTTCAACATTTTCTGACTGTATATATGTTTCATTGCAGTTCCTATTTTTCAGGTGTATGGATCAGTTATAACAAATTTAGTATCGGAGATAAGATTCATGGACACAGGCTGCACTAGGAATAGTTTCGCTACAAAACCATTAACCTGAGAACTGGAGTCATGTTCTTAAATTATCTCGACAGATCAAGACTTTCATAAGGATGGTATGCATGGCGCTAAACACGTTGAGAAATAAATAAACTGTCATACAGCCGTTTTCTCAGATCAATGAATTAAATCTGTAGGTCATAACGACGACCAATAGAAATAACTATACCAAAGAACAGAAACCACATCACGACCATATTCGGTAGCGTTCCAAACACTCCATTAGCAATAGGATAAATCGACCATATTCGGTAGCATTCCAAACACTCCATTAGCAATAGGATAAATCGACCATATTCGGTAGCGTTCCAAACACTCCATTAGCAATAGGATAAATCGACCATATTCGGTAGCGTTCCAAACACTCCATTAGCAATAGGATAAATCGACCATATTCGGTAGCGTTCCAAACACTCCATTAGCAATAGGATAAATCGACCATATTCGGTAGCGTTCCAAACACTCCATTAGCAATAGGATAAATCGACAATATTCGGTAGCGTTCCAAACACTCCATTAGCAATAGGATAAATCGACCATATTCGGTAGCGTTCCAAACACTCCATTAGCAATAGGATAAATCGACCATAATCGGTACCATTCCAAACACTCCATTAGCAATAGGATAAATCGACCATATTCGGTAGCATTGCAAACACCCCATTAGCAATTGGATAAATCGACCATAATCGGTACATTTCCAAACACTCCATTAGCAATAGGATAAATCGACCATAATAGGTAGCGTTCCAAACACTCCATTAGCAATAGGATAAATCGACCATAATGCGTAGCATTCCAAACACTCCATTAGCAATAGGATAAATCGACCATAATCGGTAGCATTCCAAACACTCCATTAGCAATAGGATGAATCGACCATATTCGGTAGCATTCCAAACACTCCATTAGCAATAGGATAAATCGACCATATTCGGTAGCATTCCAAACACTCCATTAGCAATTGGATAAATCGACCATATTCGGTAGCATTCCAAACACTCCATTAGCAATAGGATGAATCGACCATATTCGGTAGCATTCCAAACACTCCATTAGCAATAGGATAAATCGACCATATTCGGTAGCGTTCCAAACACTCCATTAGCAATTGGATAAATCGACCATAATCGGTAGCATTCCAAACACTCCATTAGCAATAGGATGAATCGACCATATTCGGTAGCATTCCAAACACTCCATTAGCAATAGGATGAATCGACCATATTCGGTAGCATTCCAAACACCCCATTAGCAATTGGATAAATCGACCATATTCGGTAGCGTTCCAAACACTCCATTAGCAATAGGATAAATCGACCATATTCGGTAGCATTCCAAACACTCCATTAGCAATAGGTTAAATCGACCATATTTATTTTTAAGTTTTTATCCTTTACTGTCTAATCTATTATGTTATTAAAAAATATATTAATATAACTATACCAAAGAACAGAAAAAATGATGCAGCAATTATGTTTTTTCGTTCTGTTTACATTTATATTATAGGTAGATGATATTGGTTACTAATGTTTATTTTTTTACGTTTGAGTTTAGAATATTTTTTGTGTGAATGAAAACTTCCTGATGAAGTATTATAAACGAAGAGTATGGAATTTATTTAGCATTACCGAAAAATTTCATTAGCAGTGGTTTACCTACTTCACGGCGCTGGCGAGTATTGTATTTTGATGATGAGATTACCATTTCATTTTCAACCTCCATTTTGGTTATTCCTCATTCAGTAACCCTTTCTAGGTTACAACAAAGAGCATGATCCATTTAGAAAAACAGAAAAATGTTTCATAAACAAATTTTGCCTTATACACAACCACATAAAGTATACACACACTCATTTATATATATATATATATATATATATATATATATATATATATATATATGATACAATATAGTTTAACGACTATATTTATGGGTTTAATGCCCAATATCAGGAATAGAGCGAATGTAAATATTAAAGTGGACTTTGAAGTAAAGTTAGAGCCGACAATCTGCTTCTTGCTAAACTCAAGCCTAGGGCATTTTAAATATATATATAGTTGGTATAAAATATTAAACAATGAAGTTCACTGATCCGGGAAACTGTTGCTGTTCCTATGAAACTTAGCCCAGAACTATACCTAAACTTAGTGTTGTAGAGTAGTTTTCACAGTTGAGGCTTGTATTTCGCTAAGTCGGTCCTAAAAGGGTCCGACATACAAAACGTTAGGAACTTGAAATAAGAGTTAATGACGCAGCAATCTAGTTGTGATGGTTGATACTTCAATGTCCGACATCGACTGACTCACTCAACTCCACTGAGCTCAACTGGCCACTGCTACTACTACTTATTATCTGTGGGAGAGTCCATTACAATAGAATAGGTAATGTTCTGGTATAACACTTAGCAAATTTATTTAACCGCTGCCTTAAAAAGAAATTTTTCTCAAGTCTGTTAAATGTGTCAAAAGTATACCCTGTTTTCCAGAATACAGGTGAGCTTTTATCTACGTCGGAATATCGCCTCATCAGCTTCTTTTGTGTCAACAGCAAAAATTTCGAGTTTATCCTCAAATCAAATTTGTTGATCACATCAACAGAAATAACCTCCTGAGCGACAAATTGTATTGATTTCACTCCTCTTGGTCCAATGTCTGTGCTGTCATTACGCATAGAATCAGTGATGAGGTACTCATTCATAGCGTGTCTTTGACAAGTATGTCTCGGTGAAACCCATCTTTCTCCACTCAAACCACGTACTATGTCCTTCAACTTGATGGATCTCCGTCATCACGGATCCGTAAACGTTGATTCCATTGGGAAAACTTTCTAAGCACGGTGGCGACTACAGTTTACGATGCCATCCTTCAGGCGATGCCGTATCATCTCAGCACTGGCTGTGCATATATTTTATTTTTACCCAAAACTAATTTGATGTTTGGTGTTCAAACACAGATGTCCAAATGCAATATATTGCATGTTTATATTCAAAGTAATCAATTTGTTTTGTGAGGTGAGTACTCGCAGGTAGTTTGCATCTTTCATATATAAAGATCTACCATTCGTCTGTGCATTGAATATTGCTGCCATATCTGATGTGGTGTTCTTGCTATATATCTCAGGATTCTCGATAAAGTCCAAAGTAGTATTTGTAATATTATCGATCCTGACCTGGCAACTCGGCATCAGTCAAATTCTCATCGACGTAACGTGGCTTCCCTCTGTCTTTTCTATAAATATTTTCATGGCTATTGATCTAATAAGTATTCCTCCGACCGCTTGATTTTAATCGTACTACTAGATTGGCTCATCGTTTTACTGTAGAATTTATTTTGTAACCGGAAGTTCAATGATTTAAATGCAACGCCAATCGCCATCTTCTGTCTTCCTGTTCATTTATTGTTCTTTCTCCGAATTAAAGTCTTCTCATTCGCTTTGATTCTCCGTAACCCCTGGTGTCTTAGATTTTGCCAGGGGTGAAATGGTTAAAAAAATATATTTTACATAAACCAATCCTCGCAGATATTACGTCTTATAGTAGCTGCAATGCAATTTGCGTTATATCATCCATCTTCCTGAGTGTCATGAAGACAAGACGTTGATAAGACAAAAGCTTAAGGATTAGAATTCTAAAGGAAAATCGCGTTCGTGTTTTTCTTTACATTCAG